ATGAAAATGGAAAAAAATAAAAAAACATAATTAAAATAATTTTTTTTAAATCCCCTGACTTGAAGGTCTGAGCTTGAATAGCAAATTGATTTTTATCTAGCCACTACCTCAAATGGTCCTAAGTGTATATGGATAATGGTGTGTAGATCTTCATGTCGGACAGAAGCTGTTCCCACTCATCATCCATGACCACTTCCGTAGCAAAGAGAACCTTTGAAAATATTCTTTCTGGGGAGTAAAATATGCAACAATGAATGAATGAAAATCTAACTTCTCTGTAAATGTTCGTTAAAATCACAATTGAAATAAAATTTTATTTAAAAAATATAAAATATTCTAAGGACCTTCTAAGACTCTTTAATGATAGTCACTCCTCTAACCCTAACTTTTTAGGACAAAGTGGACAAAGAAGTAGTTGTTGGTGAAAAGGGTTTTTGCATTGGTTTTAGTAGCAATTTACAGGGGCGGGTAGAGGGTCGTGAGTCCAGGCACGTCCTCACTTTCTATATAAGGAAATATTCTTGCTCGCACACGTTCTTTGACCCGGTAGATTAGGAGTTATTTTTGCAGAACTATGGCCTTCCTGGCTTTCAAATAAGAAGTGCAGCTGCAGGGTTGCTGACCTTTTCTCCTTTCCCCTTTGGAATGTATGCATCTCTCAGAGTCCCTTGGGGGGGGGCTCCTCCCTCAATGCTGCTGACAAACTGGGAAACAGAGAACTTATTACCATAGAGTTGTCGCACTGGCTTTTGGGTGGGAGAGACTAGAGGGATGGAAAGAAGTAGCACAATATTCAGCAATTGTAGTGGCTGTTAAAAGAGCCCTTTTTAGCATACAGTACATGTGCAGGCTTCTGAGAGCAATTGCACACCTTGCAATAGGTCTAACGTGGGCTGAGCCCTTATTACAGCTCATGGACTCAAGGAGACATCTGATTTGCTAAGAGGAAAAGTGGAGAGACTTCTTGTTGTTGTTGTTGTTGCTGTGTGCTATCGAGTTAGAACCGACCCATCGCTGATCCTCAAGTGGGTTATCAGAGGCAGGAAATCACAGAGGAGGAGATTGTCCATCTTTCTCTTGCAGAGCAGCTGGTGGATTAGAACCTCATGTCTTTGGAATTGCAACGTAGTTTCTTCCCACTAGGCCTCCTGGGCTCTCTGAAGAGAGAAGAGTGAAGGTAAAAGTAGAGACAATTTCTTAACAAAGAAATTTTAGAGAGATAACCGGGTCACTCTGCACAGAAAGGAAAGAGTGAAGAGGACGCCCTGGGGTCAGGATAGCTGGTTACTTCTGGGGACAAGCTTTATGCAAAATGGTGTTCCAGAAAATGAGACATTGTCATGGGACATTCAAAGTTCGATGGGAGATTCTTCTTGTTTCTTACATCATTTGGTTGTATGACGCATGTCTGGTGCGCCTCAAATGCTAAGCAGATTGCTCTGGGAATGCCCTTTGAAAGGCCACCAGGGAGCTGACCGCACCTTCTGGGAGACATTCCAATCCTCCTGGTGTAAGAGGGCAACAGCCAATCAGGAAAGAGCCCCAACATCAATCACACCTTGCTTAACCGTCAGCAGTGGCATAATTTACTCACAGGGACTGAGTGACTCCATGTTTGGGAACTAACAAAGGGCACCCAATCAGTGTTCTCTACGGAAAGTTGACCATCGAGCTGACCACCCTACCCCCAACCCCTGCCTATAAAATTTGGCCTGTAATTTCCTCATTTGCGACTTTGCTGCCTGACACTACCTTTCTCTGGCCTCAGACAGTAAACCTGCGAGAGCTGCTAATAAACTTTTTTGTTTCACTTCACCGGGTTCTCTGGACCTTTTTACCCTACATCCTTTACCACATGTACCAACTTTTCTGAGGAATTGGCATCTTCCTTATAAGGGCACACTGTGTTCCTTGGTACTGATTTGGTAAGATCAGGTCTTAGCTACTTCTCTTGACTTTTGTCCTCTGTAGGCTCCTAATATTAGTTTTCACCAACTTGTTGGTATCTACCTTAACATTCTTTCCACCCAGTTTCACTGCATTTCTTCTGACTTGCCTGCCAGTTTTGTCCCTAACAGTCTTGATTCTGATCAAATAATTGGTGCTACAAATGGTGTTGTTAGATCTTGTCAAGTTGTCATCCTTCCACCTTCCCAAGCATGATATCCCTCTTCAAGGAATATTCTCTCCTAAAACCCTATGTACAACAGAACACATTTAGATAACAGAAACGGCAAAGGAGGTTGAGTTTTC